TTGAATTCTTGCTCTATTTTATCAACAATTTCCACCACTTTTTAAAAAATATTTATTTAATTTTATTCATTATTATTATTTTCTATTTTTACCAGAGAAGAGACAGAGAGAGAGCTAGAAGGAAAGTGAGAAAACAGGCTGCCAGTCCAGGACTTGAACACTCAGCCACATGGGATTCCAAAGCCTTAAACACTGTGCCACCTGCCAACCCCCTTTCTACCTTATAATGTAAACTTTTTCATTTCTGCTATTATATTTTTAACTCCCCAATATTCTTATCTGAATGTTACTCTATAAATAAATTTTTCTGTTTATCTTTCACCCTTGTAATATCTTATATTTCTAATAATGTAATTATAGGTTTTCAAAATATAACTTTGTTAATGCATTATTAGATGTTACTCACCCATTTTAAGTGTTAAATTAATATTATTTCAGTTGACCAAACTGTGCAAACCATCTCTCTAAATCAGGTTCAGATTATTTCCATCATTCCCCAAATTCGCTATATCCATTACCTATTAATCACCATGCCCTTGACCACTCCCTGCTTTGGGCAATCATGAATCTCCGTTTCGTCTCTCTACATTTACCTTTTATGAACATTTCATATAAAAAGAGTCACATGTGTTCTCTAGTGTTTGTCTTCTTCCATTTAACTCAATGTTTTGAGCTTTGTCCAAGTTGAAGAAATTGTGAGGGGGCTTCAAAAAGTTCATGGAGAATGTATATTATGAAAACTATGCACACATTTAAATATTTTTGCACCAAAATAAATTCATGCTTTAATTCCAATTTTCCCTGAATTTTTGAAGCCCCCTTTGTAAGTTTTGATTGTCTGTCTGTTTCTTATTGCTAAATAGCATTCCCTTGTATAGACAAATCACATTTTGTCTCTTTTCACCAGTTGAAGGACATTTTGTTATTTCCACTCTTTGGCTATTACTACTAAATGTTCCTAAGAACATTTGTGTGCAAGTTTTTGTGTGAATATATATTTCTCTTGGGTAAATACCTAGGAGTCAAAGTACTTATTTTTATGTTCTAAAATTTCTTCTTTCTCCAAAGCCTGTCCCTCCTACACATTATTTTGCTTCCTATCTATTTCAGTATCTGTATTTCTTGTTAATAGTTTTTATGAGATAACAGGACATTTTTACAGGTTTTCTCTTATTTAAGAGTAAGAGACTAATAAAAAACTGAAACTTCTAGGTGGGATTCATTTTATTGTGAGTTTCATGGAGAGCTGGCTGGATTACTGAACTAGAGAATCTCCCATGTCTGTATTTTTAGGACTTTCCACTTCACATGGTCAGACTCCCCAGGGAAGACTCTTCCAATTTTCTGCTGAAGGGAAAGCATACAGAACATGCCTTCTCTGAGCTCCCAGAATTCAGTGTGGTGCTTCTGGCCCTCATCTGTGCCCAGTGGCTCCAGTCTATAGACGATCTCCACAGAAGAAACTTTCGATATCTGCCAGTGCAGACCAGCCCATAGCTTGGTGGTTAAGGCAGCTGAATTCCACATGGCTGACTGCACAGTTCAAGTCCTGAACCTAGCAGCTTGGGAAACATGACAGGGACATGTGGGTGTGCACCCAAACTCCCAAAAGAAGGAAAAAATGGAGGAAAAGGGGTTAATTATGGTGTGACCCTTCCTCAAGAGGGGTGCTTTCTCTCTCTTGTTCTCACTCTTTCTGGTGGGTACACATGCCCTCTTGCAAAATTTTGAAATACATACATGTTTGCAAATGTGCAGTAAGAGATAGTGGCACATCTTTTTGGGCTGTTGGGGAGAACGGGAATCTGACAGCCATTTAAACAATATATTGGACTTTATGATTCCCAGTATTAAATGAAGTTTCTAGCACCTGAAATTTGGTGTCTTTATTTCATTCAAATGAAATAAAATTGGCATTTCAGATAATGATGAGTGATTTTCAAAATTTCAATTTTTTTGAACCATCATGTTTGCAAGAGATGGTAGAACATAAGAGTTAATTTTACATTTCATTTTATCCACTAAAACTTGTATTGTTTTTATATAATTAAAAAATAATGCTTTCTTCTTGACATAAAGCCCTATGTCTTTACCAGATTAAGATTTGACTGACATACCATATTTTAAAAAGAGAAGATTAACTTCAGGGATATTGACATTAATAGCACTCTTACATCCTGCAAAACCAAAGCTGATGGCAGATACTATTTATCATGTTTTCTAAATTCTCTTACATAAAAAAGCATAATGTTTACTTGTTCTTTTAATAAGCAGCCAGGAAAAACTAATCTTTTATGAGACAAACTGTATTCTTTTATGTATCAGATTATAATTGTTATCTAAGTCAACATAGTGCTATTTTTGCCTTAAATGCCAAAAATATAAAACTTGAAGACTCAACCGTAACAGTGTATGTTAGATATAAAATAACATTAATGTCTTTGCCACTATTAATATATTATGTTGTAAAAATGTTTAACACTCTTATTTTCAATCTTTATTTGTTGTCTCAATTATTTCTACAATAGGTAGAATATAAAATTGAAATAAAATATACGTGTCAAGAGATGAACTGATTTCAATACAGGCAGATGGGGGTATCATCTTTATTTAACCAGTTTCCTTTTATCTTCCCAGTGACATTTTTAAAATATATATATATAAGTCAGGTTTACAAGCATTTTATTGAGGTGATATTTATTTGAGATGGACAGAACTGGACGTAGTGATAAACTCCTCAATGACAATACAAATACTCAGTTATCTTTCTTCTACCAAAAAGCAGGGAACAATGTCTTTTAATAACATGAGGTGACTGACATGGATGTGAATTTGACCAGAGGAGGAAATTTACCATGTTCAGATCCACAAGGCAACAATATCTGCCATAAGGAGATCGTATTTGATTAACCACAGTCAAATAAGAAATAGTTTATACGGGTGAATGTTTGCATCTCCACTTCCCATCTCCAAATTCCTCTGTGGAAACCTCATCTGCAGTGTGAGAGGATTTAGGGGTGGGGCTTTTAGGAGCTATTTAGGTCATGAGGGCTCCTGATAAAAGAGGTCCCAGAGATCTCTTATCTTTCCTACCAGGTAAGGATGTGGTTACAAAAGGACCATCTAAGAACCAGGAAGCAGGACCTCTCCAACACCCAATGAATTATCCATCAAGCACCTTGACCTTGGGCTTCCCAGCTCTCAGAACTGTGAGAATTAAAATGTTCTGTTGTTTAAAAGTCATCCAGGCTACGAACTTTTGTTATAGCAGACTAAGTCTGGACTTAGAATGAATGAAAATAACGCCTAATTACTTCAGTGTGAAAGCACCTGTCTTCTCTTAACCTTTAATCAGACAGTAATTCTGGAGATGGAGTATGCTTAAAATTTTAAGTGTATCAGGTTATACCATCTCATCTATTTAACAGCTAGGTGTGATTCTCCCGTGAGTCAGTCCTGATTGTCTCTGTTTTGGGGTTCACAGCCTTTGTGGTGTGAATGGCAGGGACCACAGATAAACAACAAGGACAAAACAAACAACAAACCGCACCCAGGTTCATCACAAGCAACAAAGTCCCACTTACCACTTACCACTCCTAAAGCTACAGTAAGACATCTTAGAAAAACGGAAGCTTTTCCTGCTGGCATCAATATCTACTACTTATATACGTGTCAAACTATAAATTTTGACCAGAAAACAAGTATCTATCCCATACAACTTACTTGTCCTATAGAGCTCATCTTTTCTATAAAAAGGTGTGTTGATTTTTTTTTCCATCACAAGCTAGTTTAATAATTAAATGGACTACTGAAATGCATACGACTGATCTGAGCCTTATTGTTTAATGTTGCATAAATCCAGAAAAAGAAATGGTTAACCAAAATCTCTTTGCAATTTATAAGTTTGAGGTATCTGAAGAAGAAAAACAATTCAAGGATATAAGCCAAACTTTATATTAAGTAATTTCATAGCTATAAATACAAGAGCACATTCATCTAAAATCTTTTATTTCATAATGAGTGTAATTTAAAAGGTGATGCTTACTAAGTCTACAAAAATTACTTAGAACCACATGATATGACCCAATCAAAATGTGGATATATTTTTGACTGCAAGCAGTCATCAGAAATTCTTTTTGCATTAACAAATATAGTTTACTTAATGCATCAGAACCTCATACTGTAGCCCATAAATATTTACAACTATTATATACATTTGAAAATACTGAGGTCTCCTCTCAGAAGGCTGACCCAACTCCTGAAGTTTGCTTTTAACTTTAGTGTGGACTTCAACCTAGAGGTTTAAAAAGGGGAATATCAATACTTAGGAACTTCTCTTTGCTTTTCTTCCTGCTGAGGG